CAGTGCTTACAACTGTCTCTGGAAGTGAAAGCACCAGAAAATAAATTAATTCATACGCAGCTGTCATCCGTACGCAAGGAAGTAAGCACAAGATGCCGAAAACCCTTAGCAGGATGCAGCGCACCCTTCATGCGACTCGCCGAATATCTCACGGCGCTTCGCGCTTGGTGATGTGAGAGCCTGGTCCGATGAGAACCCGGCGTGCTCCGTCCCGGTCTTGTAGGGATGCGAGGTCAATGGTCTAACGACTACGGCATGCACGACTATGAGTAACCCCCCCCCCCCTTCCCCTTCCCCTCCCCGCGCCCTCGAAAATCAACCAACATATGGCACTTCGATGATGTTGTTGTTGTTGCTGATGATGATGCTCTCCTGCTGTTGATATTATTGTCGTCGTGGTGATGGTGGGGGTGGGTGGGGGTCATCGTCGTCACCAATTCCTCGCTCGTGCTTTGTTTGACCGTCGCGTGTTGTCATTAATCCTGCCAGACTCGGTGGCGAGCTTCGACGTCATCCGGGGCTCCAACTTCTCACATAACAGAGCAAGTAAGTCTTGGGAGGACTGTTGTCGTCGTCGTCGTCGTTGTGTGGTACGGCCATGATGGTGTAGCGGTCCATTAGTGTCAAATCTTGTAACCGCTATTGCGGACATCGCCGCTAAACCGGATAGGCAACTATGTTGCAGTTTGAATACCGAGGTGCAGCCTTGCCACGAGATGTGGAACCGTTATTGAGGCCATCCCTCAAAACGGGAACCGCTAAACCGGGGCGACGACCGTACAATATACTTATGCGTATTGCCTCTGCGGTTATTGCTGCCCCCGATGTTGCCTGTAGCCACGATTACGAAACAAACCCGGTGGCGTAATCGGCGGCGTCCTGAGCAAACACCTGTAGACTTGGTCATCGACGGTCGTGCTTACCTGTATACGGTCCGGTCTTTGTCTTCAGTATCGACCATGCTCCTTCGCCAAGCCACGCTACACCGCTGCTCCTCCAACTCCTGCACTTGCTGACACATTGGCTGATCGTGTGTCACCGAGACCTCGCCACAGGACAGCACCCTCATCCATCTCGCTTACTTCAGTATTGGTATCCAAACGTCAAACAGACAAAAACACTCGCAACGCCCCTCTGTCGTCCGAACACGGAAATGATCTCCAAAGATGTCAAGCAAACACAACCAACTCCCACACCACCCCTGCCGGTCCCACCGCTTTCTCGGCCGTACAAGCCAGCGGGCGATGATGCTAACCCCAACCTAAACCCAACGGCAGCGAAGGTGGTAGGGCCCTTCGCCGCCGTGTCGCTCTCGGCCAACGAAGCGCTACCGTACGTAACGCCGAATCATTGACAAACACAAATCACACTCACCTCACCCCTGCCTCGCCCATAGCCGCGTCCGGAGGCGCCCTCGTCCACGCGGGTGTGATGGAGGAGATCTCCGACACGACCTTCGTAGGAAACGCGGCGGGTAACGAGGGTCCCGCGGTGCTCAGCCTCGGCCTTCTGAGTTCCATGGAAGGGGTCACGTTCGACGGCAACGACTTCTACTGCGAGGAGGGGGAGTTCGGCACCGAGACTCTGATCGACAAGGACCTGTTCGGGGTGAGATGTGTTATTTTTTCGAGTGCCACGCAGAGGGTTGGGGGGGGAGGTGTACTCATTGTCGTGCATGTCGTAGTCGTTAGACCATTGACCTCACATCCCTACAGAGCCGGGACGGGGCACGCCGGGTTCTCACCGGACCAGGCTCTCACATCACCAAGCACGAAGCGCCGTGAGGTATTCAGCGAGTCGCATGAAGCGTGTTCTGCATCCTGCTAAGGCTGTTCGGCACATGTGCTCGCTTCCTTGCATACGGATGACAGCTGCGCATGACTTAATTTATTTTCTGGTGCTTTCACTTCCAGAGACATTTGTAAGCACTATGTAACTGCCTCGAGGGTGCTTGACCATTTTCACACAACGTGGTGCGATCAGGTGCGATCAATCCCCTTGCGCGGAGTGAGGGGTCTCGACCCCGCACAACATGATCTACTCGAACACCATCATGGTTACCGCCGAAAACAAAACAGAAGTAAAAAAAGCGGTAACCTGGTTGCCGAGTTCACGAAGTGAATTGGCTTGTTTTACAANGGTGCGATCAATCCCCTTGCGCGGAGTGAGGGGTCTCGACCCCGCACAACATGATCTACTCGACCACCATTATGGNAAACAAAACAGAAGTAAAAAAAGCGGTAACCTGGTTGCCGAGTTCACGAAGTGAATTGGCTTGTTTTACAACGTCGTTGCCAAGCGACGAAAACCCAATCCCGATGGCAAACGCCGAGGGGGGGGGGGGAGGAAGCAGTCCGTTGTTTTGCTTGCCTCAGCGTCCTCACTCGCGCTCTCTCTCTCTCTCTCTCTTGGAGTTTTGCGGTGTTGGAGAAAATTCAGGCGCATCAGAGGAATGTTTTTTTTGCTTTTCTGGCGTCAGCGCCTCTGCGCGAGTTGGGCCTGTGGGAAGGTGCTGAGCAGAGATCGAATTGGTACACAACAAAAAAAAACAACGATTGCTGCTGGTGGTGTTGGACCCCAGCCACCCAAAAGCGGGGTTGCAAAAAGACACTGGGCGCGTACGGCAAGGTCATCATAATATAAGGGTGCAAGCGCGAAGACCCGCCGTGCGCTCGCTTAATAACTCGGGGAATCTCCCAGCACAAGCTCTTTGTGCACGGCGCATTCATTCTTGGTCGCCTGTAGATTCAAGACGTTCCCCGTTCAGGCGTTGCCGTAGGGATGAGAGGATCGGACATGCCGATTGCCTGCAGCTATGCGAACCCCTTTCAACGTTCGCATGCTGTTGATTGGCACCATCGAGGAAAAGCCTGCAATAGGCAGGCAGGCGGCGGGAAATGTTTGGCAGTTTCTGAGGCATTCAGACTCTTGTAACGCCTTCCCCCCCGCCCCCAAGTCCCGTTGCCCACACGATACACTTAAAACACTGGCTGCTGCTGCTGCTGCTGCTGCTGCTGCCGCCGCCGTGATCGCTATGTGCCCTACCTCGACCGCGATGGCCGTCATGATCCTGTGTAGGGTGCGGACCAGTGCCGCTTCAGACGCGTGTGCTCGAGGTGCGCGAGCGAGTGCGGCAGCGAGCTCGAGAGGACGGCGGAATTGGTGGACGCCGATACACTCCCGACGTGCGAGACGGCTCCCGAGGGGTCGCGGACCACCAGACGGGGTACGTACGGTTGAACAGCTGGGAGGTATTTTTGAGAAATTTCGGGAATTTGAAGTGAGCTAAGCGTGCGAAACGGACTCCCGAGGAGGTATGTACCGAAAGAGGCGGTAACAGTTACAGCGCAACTGGCAGCGCTCACGAAACCTAAAGAGGAATTTCGGCAAGAAAGGGAATTTAATTTAGCGCTTAGAAAGGGCGCTCTTGAGGGGTCGCGGACCACCAAGAGGGGTAACCACGCTAGCCCCGAACGCCAGCCTTCCATGGTCTTCCATGGTCACAGGCCGCCTGTTGCATACCATCAGCGATTTTTCTCAGCTCTTTTGTCTTTGTCGCCCGAGTGACAATCCTGGCGCCGCTCTATGCAGCGACGCTGGAAATGCCTTCACTCAGTGGCGAACTATCCTGTTCGATATTTTTTTTTGTCTCGGCACTATTATCTTATCGACCTGAATGAAAACGAAACAACAGGCGCTACCCTAGCGACGCTCGAAGTCCTGCCCGGGTTCTACCGATCTTCGGAGACGAGCACGGACATCAGGGAGTGCTTCCACAAGAAGGCGTGCGACGGCGGTAGTGCCATCGGGACGTACTGCTCGGAGGGGTACATCGGTCCATGTGAGGAGGCGAAGCGAAAGTGGTTGACAGTTTCAGATTCCGAGATGGGTTGACGTGTTTTCATGTACGGAACGGGCCCGCTGTTTAGAAATATTTTTTACGAAACAGAGGCTCAAAATTTTCACGAAAAGAACATAGGTTTGCAGAAACACAGCTCGGCGATGGACCCTAGATTCTGTAGAACAACCTGTGCTCGACAGCCATTGGCGATGAAATACAAGAAGCAGAGTCTCGACCCGATTTCGGCGTTTCATATCTCCGGGCCCGTGCTGTAAGGATTGTTACCTCTTTGCCCTGCCACGGAAACCACAAAGCGAATCGCTTCCCGTGGTCAGCGGGGAACACGTATGCCTCGAAATCGACGAGAGCGGGCCGTTGTGTTGGTGGAATTCACACGTGCATTCCTGAGAACGAAAGGAGTCTAGGTCTAGACTAGCGTTTTACGTCGGTAGTTTTGACCGTTCTTAGCCGGCTGGCCAATGGAAACACATCAAGGCTTCACTAATGCTGACAATTCCTGTAAATGACGTGAACTGAGGTCCATAGAAGGCCGACACCATTAGACTAAACAAGCGCTGTCTAGTCTATTGGATTGATCTTGGCTTCTTGCAGGTCCCGTGAGGAACGAGGGCGCTATTACGCGGGTGTCGTTCCCGTGACCTCGTCAGTGTTGTAGAACCGCTCGATCAATGTGGCAAATACCTCTGTCCCTCCTGCCAGCAGCAGAGAGTGCTCCAGATAGCCGCAGGCACACGGACCTTTCGCCCCATCTCCCTCGGTGTGGTCCCGTGGGAACAACACTCCGTCCTTTCGAGAAGGCGTGGTCCATCCGCTAAGGCGTGCAAAACATGAGTACGCCCCCCCTCCTGAAACCCTCGCAATGGTGATGTGATAGCCTGGTCCGGTGAAAACCCGGCGTGCTCCGCATCGGCTTTGTGGGGATGCGAGGTAAATGGTCTAACGACTGTCGCAAATCCACGGCTGAGTACCCC